GGTTACAGCTGTCATCATCGAGCTAGAGGGTGACAATTCATCTGGATCCAGTTCTTTTTGGTTCGATAGTGAAGTTATGCCTTCTATGGTAACTGTGGTGACTGTCGGAAGAGCCGAACCACCAGATTCTCGTCGTGACAAGAAACGCAAAGGGGAGGTCGTTTCTATAGAACCGTTAATGCCATCGTTGCTATTTTCATCGCTGTTGTTGACGCTTGCACTACGATTGGAGGAGTTTTCGTCATAAACATTATTTGCATCTGTCTCAATAGTACGAACGATTGTAGTGGTTGGAGAGATAGGATTCTTTTGTGGCGTTCCGATATTACTTTTGGAACTAGTAGATCCATCTAAAATTTCGCCAAAACCGGGTTTATGAGACGGTTTTTGAAGAGCAAAAGGAAGATTTATTTCAGGTAACGACTGATGTTTCCGCGATTCTGGAGCGGTAATTGCAGTCGTAATGGTCGTAGCGGTTATGGTTGTAGATGAAGGGGTCGAAGCGGTCTGAGGTAATTTTGAGTGTGATGGTGATGATGGTAAACTTTGAGGGCTCTGGGGTAATTGAGCCGAATCAGGAGTCGGCGTTGTTTTGGGAGAGGACAAAGGTTCAGCGGTTTGTTGAGTTGCTGGATCACCTTGTTTGTTCACCCTCCGTTTTTTCGCAGACTCCTTCAACTTTTCCCATCGCTCTCTGTATTTTGTCACAAGAGCCTTCTAATAACAGATAATAATAAATCGTAATCAATAGTTATACAGAAAGACGAACATATCAGAACCTATGCAATATACTTGTTTCTCGTTATCAGTTTTCATGAGTCGAAGTTCTTCTTCCAGTTCTTTAATACGTTTTTGAAGGATATTGACATTGCTCACTAAGATTTTTATAAATATGACAATAAGTGAAAATGTTGATCGAAAATACACAATGCCTATCACAAGATCATGCGATTACCGGTAGAACTCTCAGGCGAAGTTTGCTTCATCACAGGTATTGACCGTAACATTTCCTGGCTTGCTTTAATACGTTTTGCCTGTTTTTTTTTTTTTAAAAAAAAATTACAATTAACCAATGAATACATTTACTAAAATATGATGAACACTAAATACCATCGGACCTGTTTTTGAAAATCATTTTTGAATTGCAAAATGCTACTCCTTAGCATACTATTCTCTTCTGCAGCCTG